GGCCCTCAGATTGCACGGGTCGTGCAAACTCTGCGTTTTGAGTTGCACGGGCCGCGAAGGAAGTTGCACGGGCATGCGGCCTGGCCGTGCAATCGTGGGCAGCTGCTTCTTAACCCAATCTCGAGTTTTGGAGAAGGGAACCGAGTTTTGGAGAAAGAAAGAAAAAACCTAGAGAGAGAAAGTGACGAACAAAGCCTCCAAGTGACCTAGATCGAGGTTCAACACCATTGGAGCTCGATTGAAGTTTGGAGAAGTGCCGATTGACAAATTTCCGCAATTGAAGCTGATTTCTCTTCTCTCTCTATGGAGTAAACTCTCTCTCTCTCACCTGGGTATGAAGAACCCTAGATTTGTATGTTAGGTTTGGTTGTATGAACCCAAGTACATGTTCTTTGACATCGATTATATTCAATTGAGGCATGATTTTCTGAATTGCATGAATCCTGATCAAATTCCTGTATTTCCTACTTTGACCTAGAAAGAGAATATCTGCCTAGGTTGATAGAGCTCCCATAATTACAGGTGGTGAATTGACTACTTTAGTCGAGGAGTCAATTCACTGCTCTGTACTGAATTTACTCCAGTAGATGGGGTTTTGAACGTTAGGGCCTCAGTTTATTTACTCCGGTGGAGGTTAGTCGCCCGTCGGGTATTCAGATTGAGAGGGTCTGGAGACCTTTAGTCAAAACGTCAGACTGAATAAGAACCTTCCGCAGTATAGAGCATGTAGAGCATATAATTTGTCAAAGTTGTTTATTATTCTGAAAGTTGAGGTATTGTTTCATTACTGAAAGTTTGGCCAAAATTCTCTATTTATACAAATATGAGACATCTTATAGAGTATTTATCCTACTAATAAATGCGAAAATCAATAGCAAGTTGTATTTCGAGGAAGCTTGGTTGCATTTAACCAAGATGCGCAATAAAATGGGAACAACAGTTACAAAAAAAAATAGCAGTTACTGAGTTGGAAAACCTTAATTGGGGATGGTTGAATACCTTATTACATAAGTAGAAATCAGTACAAAAACATTATTAGGTTGTTCATCTTGTTCAATGAAACCCCAATCAACATACTCAAAATAAAAATAGCTCGAGAAACATCATAATCTCTACCTTTCTCTCCCTCTCTCCCTCCCACACAAACAAACAACACACACAAAAAAGGTTAAAAGGAAAAAGGAAAAAAATGTAAAACCTACACAAGAATAAGGATGGATACCCAAACAGGACGGCGTCGTAGCTCACAAAGTTAATCCCTCCAAGTAAAATCTCATCAAGCCATCTCAACCTGGCCGCCGGCGCCGGCTGACTTGGTCGATTGCGGAATCTCCTGATCGGCGGTGTAAAAGGAGTTGTGCCTCGACTGGTACTTCTCTCCGTCCCCCCACAACGCGTAAGCCTCCTCCCCATGGATTGCATCGTCGCCGGTGCTTAGCTGCTCCTCCGACAACCTCAACGGAACCACGAACTTAATCACCACGCAAATGATACTGGTCATGATGACGTTGGTGAATACCACAAAGAGTATTCCGAGGAGCTGAACACCCAGCTGCTTGAACCCTGCACCAGCACGGTTGTTATGGAAGCCGTTGAGCAGGCCGATGTAGTGCTCCCACTCGGGGACAAGGTAGAAGATCCGACACAGCTTGGGCTCGGCGAAGATTCCGGTGAGGATACCTCCGAGGCTTCCTGCAATGGCGTGGGTGTGAAAGATGGCCATGGTGTCGTCGACGTGCTTTAGGAATGAAATCTTCTTGTGGAGCACCATCATTGTGTACCATGGGATGCTTCCTGACAGCATCCCCATTATTATTGCTGCCCATCCTTGCACTACTCCTGCATTGTAAGAAAATAGACTAGTTGGTAAGGCTTTATCCGCAACTGTTAGCATTTTTAGTTTTTACTGTCAAGAACCAGTTGATCCCAATAACTCGAGTTGTTGGGAGAATGTTATGCTGGATCTTATACCACACTCTTACACGCCCCTCAAACGAAAGCCAACTCACGGGCTTGAAGTTTGCACTGGCCCACCATACTTGTGCTTTAATCAACTGTTAATATTGGGGTTCGTGGAGATTCGAACACACGACCACTTTGGCCAAACCAGCTCTGATACCATGTCAAGAACCAGTTGATCCTAATAACTCGAGTTGTTGGGAGAATGTTATGCTCGATCTTATACCACACTCTTACACTTACATAATTCTATTGTTGGGAATGAAAATGTAATTTTTACCGGCGGCGGGAGTGATGCAGACGAGGCCGGTGATCATCCCCTGGATGGCTCCAATGACGGAGGGCTTACCGAAGAAGATAATGTCGAGTAGTAGCCACACCAGCAAGCTCGTAGCCGTGCACACGTGGGTGTTGAGCACGGCAAGAGAAGCATCGACACTGACGGTGTAGGGATCTCCCCCGTTGAATCCGGTCCAACCCATCCACAAGAGACCCGCTCCGGCCAGCATGAGGAGGATGTTGTTGGGCGGGAACCTCTCTCTATCCTTGTTCGTCCTGGGGCCAACCTGCCACGCATGTGATATGGTCATTAGATGTACCAATCTGAACGGTCATTCATTTTTTTTTATTATATTGAACTTCGGGGTTTAGAAATTTCGGATAAATTAAAATTTATCCATTAGAGATTATGATATAGTATTATGCTCCAAATCGGTTTAACCACGATGTACAAACGTACGTACCCAGAAAGCGGCGGTGAAACCCGCGACGCCGGAGGAGAGGTGAATGACGTAACCGCCGGAGTAATCAATGATGCCCTTCTTGTAGAGCCAGCCGGTGGGGCACCAGATGCTGTAAGCGGTAATGGTGTACGAGAAAGTGAGCCAGAGGGGGACGAAGATCATCCAAGCATGGAAATTCATCCTCCCCAGGAGAGCTCCGGCGATGAGGATGAGGGTGATGGCAGCGAACACGAACTGGAAGTAAACCATGGTGGCGTTTGGAAGGTAACCAACGAAAGTCCTGCGGAGGAGGAACTTCTGGTCGAGGGCGACGTCCGGCTGGCCGAGGAAAGGGATGAATTTGTCGCCGAAGGCCATCTGATAACCCCACCCGACCCAGCAGATGAGGACGGCGGCGAAGGCGTAGAGGGCCATGAAGGCCGAATTGACGGCCCACTTCTTCTTCACTATGCTACCGTAGAGGATGACGAGGCCGGGGACGCTCTGCATCCCGACGAGGGTTGCGGCGGTGAGCTGCCATGCGTTGTCGCCTTTGTTCAGCCAGTCTGGGCTTCCCTCGTCCGTCGCAAGGTTCAAGGGGAGCGCCATGTTTTTTGTTTGGTGGGTGGAAAGAATGAGGGAATCGAGGGGGTGATGGAAGGGAAGAAACAGAGGACTCTGTTTTTATAAGTGGCGAGAGAGAATGTGTTTGGCGGAGTGTGCTGTGTTTAATTTTGGCAGAGCTTTTTGGTTTTGGTTTCGGGCGGAGAGTGCTGTGTTGGCAGCTGTGACATATTTCCCTTGAGGAAAGCTTGTTAATTTTAATCTTCTTTTGCTATGCGCCTTGAGGAATCTGTGTCTTGGAAACTCTGGGGCAACAACAATGCATCTCTCCCCCATGTTTCTCTTTCTTTCTTTCTTATTATTATTTTTGGCAGAAGCGTTTCTTATTTGTTCATTGCTGTTTATTGTTTAAGCTATTAAGGTTGTATTCCTCGGGGCCAGGAGATTACTGCACTTCTAAGAATTATGCACTTATCTAGCCGCACAATTAAGCTTGTCTAAAGCTAAATAAACAAGAATTTAAGCTACTAAGGTTCACTCAAGAGAAGAGGCACTTGGGGTTTGATGCCCTGACCCAAATTACGTGAATTGGCAACAAAGAACTCCACTCAATCATATCCCTAACCAGCTAAGATGCAAGAATTTCAATTATGACAAGTTGGTTGCTAGCTTTAGAAACTCAACTCAAGTTATACAACTTTATTCGTCAACAATACTAACTGATCCAATTCAGGACAAGTGTATCATATATTGGCGGAGTAGTAAAGTGGTGATCAAGGTCGTATTTTAGTCTGGAAGTCTGGTATCGTTATTTGCGATTATATTGAGAACCCTAAAAAATTTGTCGATATTTGGTATTAACGAATACACCTATTGTTTAATGGGATTGTGATTGAATTTCAAATATTTTGTTAGTATTAGGGATTACGGTATTAAGATCCGTATATACCAAAATATCGATCAATACTGAAATATAAGCTAGTGTGTATTTTATCCCTCACAGCTTGGCACCCTCACTCAATACTACTTAACAAATCATGTCAAACTCATTTTGTGAATGAGAAATACAAATCTCCTATCTTCATAGGAATCAATGGGAGAATGGAAAATTGCTCAAGTGGGCTGTTGGGCGTTATCGTAAGAAACACTTTTCATTTCATCCCCGTAGTTCCGCTTCTTGTTCTAAGCAGAGAGACTTGTTCTTGCTCTCCCAATTCAGGAAGACGGAAATCGCCGGTTGGGTTAGTCCAACCAAGAAAGACATGGGATTTTTTGGGCTCCGAAGAGCATTCTTTTCGATCTTCTACCCGGTAGACTGAACACCAACCCAATCTCGATAAAGAAAGTAAAGTAAAAAAGAAATCAATCAACTGGGGGAGCTCGACAAAGAAAAGTACAAGCTCTTCGCTAGGACCCGAACTAGGCTAACATTCTTTTCTTATGAAATTTCGAGTTAGAGGAAAAGAGAACTTCCTAGGTTACGCCATTTCCTATTTCACTTCTGTAACTCTTTGCTTACCTTGCTGCCTTTGCGCCAAAAGATTTGTTGTGTTACACTTGCCCCTCCTAACCCAGTTTGTATGCTTGGGAGTATAAACTGCTAGAACTAAATGACCTGCTGGAACTTCCACTTCCTTAGCTTCATTAGCCCTTCAAGCTGATTTTAATGCTTCGTTCCTCTCCTTTCAGTCGAGCAACTTCGTTCCTCTCCTTATTTGGGTCATCCCAACAGGCCTTTACAAATGTTGAGACCGACTACCCAACGATCGTCCAGCAACGCTGAAAGAAAATAGGACTTAGTCCATCCCAGCCTGGAGACTTTAACGGCACCATCAAAGGCCTACGGGTCGTGAACTTCTTTTCCCGGAGAAGAAGCAATGACGGTATCTGGGGAATAAGCATCGGCTAACTCTGTGCCAGCAGCCGCGGTAATACAGAGGATGCAAGCGTTATCCGGAATGATTGGGCGTAAAGCGTCTGTAGGTGGCTTTTTAAGTCCGCCGTCAAATCCCAGGGCTCAACCCTGGACAGGCGGTGGAAACTGCCAAGCTGGAGTACGGTAGGGGCAGAGGGAAGGGTTCTATCAAAGTCATTAATACAAGTTATGTTGAGGTTGGTGTTCATGGGGAAGAAATGCACCCCATAGAGGAGCTGCGTTGCTGATCTTGGGCCTTCTGCTTCTTCTTGGCACAGCCACAGGCAGAATATGTAGAAAATAACTCCTCCTCCATGGAGGAGAGCTGGTGCCAATGGTCCTCATTATTGTGTAATCTGGATAGGCTTATTGTCTCGAGATTGATAAGATCCTTTTATGGGGCAATGAAGATACTCTAAGCATTCCATTAGTTATGTATCAGCGTTCCAACAGCGGACAGCTAATGCGTTCCACTTATTTATTGAACAGGGTTCTATGGTCGGTCCGCGACCCCTGGATGCCGAAGGCGTCCTTGGGGTGATCTCGTAGTTCATACGGGGTGGAGACGATGGGGTCGGTCCATGGATTTTCCTTCCTTTTGCCGCATTTCGCTAAAGGGTTGAAGGGAGATAGTGCATCAAGCTGTTCGCAAGGGGCAACTTGATCCTCTTCCCCAGGGATCCCAGATGAGGGAACCCTAGGAGAGCCGCTGACTCCAACTATCGTCCATGTACGATCCATACTAGATCTGACCAACTGCCCATCCTACCTCCTCTACGTTCTTGACAACCCATCTTTGTCTCAGTAGAGTCTTTCAGTGGCATGTTTCGCTCTTTTGATATTGGAAACAATCTCTTTATCAATATACTCTTTCTTTTACACACTCATCTCCTACTGATAGTCATAGTGGAGAATAGCTAATAGTTAGGACTCAGTAAAAAAATGGCAAATCCGCTTATGGAAAATCCTTTCCTGCATCAGGCACTAATACCTTTTTAACGTAAATTTAGATAAGATAATCCTTTTAATTTCAAATAAAAAAATGAAAATTAAGAAGGGAAGCTCATTTCTTTTTTGTTTACTGATAATTAGAGCTTTAATATATATATATATATATATATATATATATATATATATATATATATATGGTGACTTCTACGGTGCCCAGGGCAAAACCCGGGTACGGGTGCTTTGGCCGATCTTAACCGTTCGTTTTCAATCTCCACGGCTCACGTTTGTTAAACCTAGCTGCGCCACTAAATAACTAAACAAATTACAAATTGCCTCCTCCGCGTTAAGTTAGTTTTCATCCTAGTCCAACTAACTGCCCCGGTTAAATTAAATGGATTAAGACCCAAACCCAATTGGGTAGACCCACTGCCGCCCAAACCAATTTCCAGTCTCCCTAACCAATTACACGATCCCTCTCTCGTCTTGGAGGGACGCCCCTTCATAGTTCCAAGAGAAGCTCCCCATCCACATTCGACGTAGATTGAATTTCCCAAAATAATTTTGTCTTGTTTCTTCTTCGCCAGTGTATTTCCCCTCGCCTATCTCTTTCTAAACACGATTACGGCGACCATGTCTATTATTGTGTTCATCGAACTTTTCATTTGGAAAAAAAACCCTTGAAAGAGGTTTGCTAACCCTAGGGTTCATGTCACTAGTGCTTTGTCATCTTGTCTTAGCGTTATTGTGATTATATCTCTCGGTGAAATTAAGGTTTCCTGATATGCAGTGTTCGTCTCGCCCAGAGGATTGAGGAAGGAGATGAAGAAGACCTAATTTGATTCGAATCAGATGGAGAGGTCTCCTTAATTTGTGTTTATGTATTAACGCTGCGTTTAGGACTAATTCTAGTTGGACTGGGTCTGATCATTGATTTTTGCAGGCTTTTAAATAAAATTCAAACGTGGGCTTGTACATGACCCATGAAATATTCAAAATTGGGCCTGGAACGTGCGAGCCCATTAGTTTTCTCCTGCGGTATCAGCGCCAACCCTAGTTTAACTAGATTTAGTTACCCTAGTTTAACCTACACGAGTTAACATCATCATTACTACATATCTTCCCAAATCTTCTAACTCTTGACATTCCAGACTCAACCGTCTCCATCACACGTCTCCACACTCAACCCCCACTTTTTCTTACACCTACAATCTCTCTTTCCCTACAATCTCTCTTTCCTCCATCTTCACCTTCCCTTGTTCCTTCTTCCTCTGACTCCATGGCAAACATGGGCATTCTAACTCTATCAAACGACGACTGCCGAACCACCACAAGTCTCGCGGACTATCTTTCATTCACGAGCAAGACATCTATTGTGGCCGAGTACGAGTTCATCAACCTGAGTCCTTTCCCTCAAGAAGTTAAGAAGTTAATTAAAAATCTTGGCTGGGAAAAGTTCTTCGATCTCTGGAGTCGAGGAAGCACCAGTTACTGCCCGCATGTGGTGAGGAAGTTCTACCACAATTTAGAGCTGTCTGGTCCCTCCGATTCTCATCTCGTGTCGATCTTCCTGGGTCATAGAGTCTGCTTCCAGCCTCATCAGTTTGCTGAGATCCTCGATCTCCCCGCCGCAGGACACCACATTGATAGCAGAAGCGATCTTCGGCGGCTGTACGATTTTGATTTTGAAGTTGAACTGGGGAAACTGACGAATGGGTGCATCCAGGCTTCTTACCTCCCAGATCCTCTTCGATTCCTCCATTGGATGATCGTCAACTGCTTCATGCCAAGGTACAGAGGTCATTCGATAATTCGTAGACTTGACCTGTTTATCCTTGTGCAAGCTCAAAGAGGTGTTCCTCTTAACCTCGCATCTCTCATGTGCGTGAACATGGTTGAGGCGGCTCCTAGAGGGGAAAACTGGTACACTGCCTTTCCATATGCCACCTTCTTGACCACCTTTCTTGGAAGGGTTGGGATGGATATGGGGGTTTATGCTAGGGAGGACCATTCCGCCTATTTGCCAGTCTACCGTATCGTCGAAGTGACCAATACTTTTCATGAACTTCGGCATACGGAGCATGAAGAGACCCCTGAGGCATCCTCAAGCAAACGTCCTCGGCTTACATGAGAGTCGATTGATGCAGGGCGGGGTGGAGCAGTGCAGGGCGGGATGGAGCAGTGAAGGGGCCAGCATTGGATGTGTTTTGTTAAGAAGTTTACTGTAAGGCTTCGTTGTTGTTTTTTTCCAGTCTTTTTCTCCAGCACTCAAAACTGTCAGGTACTGAGGGGAGCCAGTACATCATCTGACTAGGAAAGTCTCCCATTTTTTTAATTATCCAGACAAATATTTTTCTATGCATGCAGTATTTTGTGAATTTGCCATGGCTAATTTCCCTAAGACAGGTGACGAGATGCAGTAATGGTCATCCCTAAGCAAGGATGTGCAATTGCATCCTACACTTGCTATGATGTGAGAAGCTATTGCAAGGGTGCAAATTTGGTTGCAATTGAAATTGGCCCACGAGTGGGGACTATTGATGAAATTGCAATGTTTTGTCAAAATTATAGAAGTGGAAGTAGGGACTACCTATGAAATTGCAAATGAATTTCATTGGGGGAGATTTTAATCCGCTTTTGTTCTAAGCAGTTCCAATTAGGTTGATTATAATGATTTTTTTATCTATGGTGATTTTTTCCCCCTTTTTCATCAAGACTCATGCTTCTTTTATCCCCCTGTGGATCTATCATGCTTCGTTTATAGTAAAATATCCTTTTAATTATACACAATAAAGAATCCATTAATTATGTATGCCTTTTTATTGTATTTATTACTACAATGAATTCTCTGAATAAAAGGGGAGCTTAAACATCGTTGGTGGAAATTCAAGGAATGGAATGATAAGGGCTGTGCATAAATTCAATTTCTGTAAATAATTAATTTTATTATTATTAGTTAGTAACGTCATTAGTTTTAGTTAGTGGGTTAGTGGCTCCTACTTTGTAGCTTCAATCTGTTCAAGAGTTGGTACTTAAGCCACTCTCCTCATCAATGTAAATCACTACTTCCAATCAGTTTTACCTTTTGGGTTACCTATACATGAATGCAAATTTAATTATACGATTGGGAGCCAATCAGTTTAACTATACATGATCCCAATTAAACCTCTCTACAAGATACAATGGCTTGAAGCCTTGAACAGACGCAACCTCACTCACAAGTTGGAAGGTGGAATTTTGGTGAAGTCCCTTTGCCATTTCCACGAAAAAACAAACCAAACCAAACCAAATATAGAAAGCATTCACAATACCAAAAACCAAATATACAAAGCATTCACCAAACCAAAAACCAAACCAAAAAACCATTCACCAAACCAAACCAAAAACCAAATATTAAAACCATTCACCAAACCAAACCAAAAACCAAATATAAAAAGCATTCACCAAACCAAAAACCAAATATAAAAACCAAAAATAATAAGCATTCACCGAACCAAATTAAAAACTGTTGTCCATCATCCTGAGGAAAAAAAAACATAACTGTTGTCCTTCATCAAAACCAAAAACTTAGAACTCAAAATCAGGTTGTTTTGGGCTCGTTGACCGGGTTTCCTTGTGCTCGTCTCTTTCCTTTTTCCTCTTTTCATGGCTTGTCTTGTACTCTTCCACTGCAGCTTCAACTTGAGGTGCAACTCTTCTTGCTTCCGTGAGCACCATATGCCTTATGTAGTTCATGGGCTCTCGAACAAGGTACAAAGCGATCTGCATCCTCCTCACTTGAGTGCATGGCTATCAACATCAACAAACATGGTGCTTACCGCATGATTCAAAAATAACAATCAATTGTGGTTTTCTAATATGGGAATTAGAATTGTCTTTACCCAAATATAAGAGGAGTCCCAGCTTGCGCCATACATCCACATGCATACCCAGACTCCACTGTCAGACCTACATAAAATAAAAGCATTGCGTGATAAGAACCAAGTTGATAAGTCGTCGTTTAATATCACAAAAAAATGGGCATACTTACCGATGAAGT